ATATATATATATATATATATATATATATATTTGAATATATAGTTTAGAGGTGCCACCTCACCTTGAGTCAGCTGTAGTTGTCATGCCAGGCCACTGGATGGTGCTGTGATTTTAGCATGTCACAGAATGTGCATGTGCTTTTAACCCTCAGTTTCCACCTCACTGCAAACAGTAACCTGTCTCCCATGAATGAAGTGCTGCTGTAATATACATTTCCTACTGGAAGTCGTGTTAAACTCAACAGGTTAAGTAACGCAGCACAAAGCCTGCCGCCATCGTTTTTCTTTTCTTCCTGTGGGTGCTTAGAACAAACCCTGCAGCCATGCGTTCTGCGCTTTTCACGCTTTTGAAGTTCTTTGCACCTCCATAGAAAAGTTTCACTCTGAAACCTGGTTTCAAAAAGTGCCGGTGTGACAGACTCTGATCCGGTCATCGGTGTAAACGAGCAGCTGTTGAAGAGCGGTATTGTGGTGTACAGTGTGTGTGTGTGTGTGTGTCCTTACGGGAGCAGGGTGCTGCTGGCGGGTCATCTGCTGCCCTGTAGTAGTTGGAGTCACAGGGACAGGAGACGGCGGCTCTGGTCTCCGAGTGGCTGTGTTGGGGACATTTCCCACACGGGCCGTCGCCGGCCACCGGCTTATAGAAACCCACCTCACAGGCTGCACAGGGACAGAGAAAACAGCCAGATGCTCACGAATCCAATGTGTTTATTAGCACATCAGCTAAATCAAACAATACTGTTAAACCTAACTCCCAATCATCCATCTGAAGATATATGGCCCTCTGCCACCAGCCACTGAGTGTAATGTATAATTACTGGCTTGTAACGGCAGAAACTTCACAGCAGAGATGAAAGCCGTTTCTTGCCTCTGCTCAGATTTGGGCTGAAAATATCCTGAACTGTTGATACTCCCAGTGAGACCATCGGAATCCAGCCCAAGCTTCGACGCTATTCAGCTTCTCTGATACATATTCACTTTTAACTCTGCACTTATTAATAATGGAGGGCTTGCTGATAAATATATTCTCTTTCGAGGCAGCTAATAGGCTTTTGCAATGGTAAATGGGGCAGATGTGGAGCTGCTTACACAGAAAAACAGCAGCAGCAGACAACTTTATCAGCTTGCTCTCCCCCTCACCAGCTAATTTATGCTCCCCCTTAAATACATGTGCTGTCTTACAGACAGGGTGCCGGCCTCCTTGTTGTCTTGTGAAGTTTATAGACGGCAACCTTGGCCGTTCAGGTTTAAAGGAACTACAAAATTGGTTGACCAAGATTTAAGCTCATACCGTTCAGTTTATTTATGCAGTACCAATTCACAGCAAAACAAAACAAAACAAAAAAAAACAAGTGAATCTAGTTTGCACATAAAAATTGGTAAGAAATACAGATTCAGCATCAATTGCATACATTTTGATGGGATCTTTGTTATTAAACAAGGGAAGTTCAACTTAATATTTAAATAATTTTCTGCGTGAGGAAACCCAGATGTTTGCATTGAGTCCCTCGACTTGAATGAGTTTAAAGCAACCGTGGCTTCATGCAGAAATCCTTCATGCTAAGCCAGGATGCAACAACAGTGGGAAGGAAAACTCCCACTATCACAGTGAGAGACACTCAACAAAACTTTGGTCGTTGTGAGCTGTAATCTGCTACAGCCAACTGGAGCTTTAAGGCTGTTTTCACACCTGACAGTCCGGTAAACTCGGTTTAATCAGGGACAAAGTCTCAACATTTACTACACTTTCAGTCATTTTCAGTTGGTTTCAGTTTTAGTGCTTCTCTTTCACACTGCATGGTATCAAACGAAGCAAACCCTTTTGAAAAACCTGTTCCCCTCCTCACCTGTGGTGGCGCTACACCACAAACCACTGAAGGAAACAACATGAAAACCTCTGAAGAAGACACAACAACTTCCTTCTTCATAAAATGTGAACAGAAATGGAGTGGTGTCAGATTATAGTCGGGTTTCTCTTTTGTCTTTGGAAAAACACAATGAGCCATTTCTTCTGATAATGTCTAGTGTGTTTGTTTTGGTTGTATTTACCCAGAATGCCCTTTGATTTAGTTTGTTAGCTTTTGCAGCGCTCTCCAGTCCACTAGGTGGTCAGACTTGCATTTAAATTGCATTCACTTCAACCAAACCAAGACGTAGGTTTGTAGGTGGACCAGAGTTCACTTTTATAGTCGTCACCAGAGTTCAATCGCCCATCGTCATCTCCACAAACGAACTGGACTTCGTTGGATAGCAAATTACAGTTCAATTAAAGCGGACTGAACAAGGAGCAACAAACAAAGAACTCAAAAGCACTGGCCCAGGAGAACATCCTATGTTAGAAAAAAAATCTGAATTGACGGCAGAATTAGTGCCTTGAGAGTCTATTTAAGAGATTAATGCATCTTAATAAAAAAGCCCTGTGCCAGTAGTAAAATCTATAGAATGACAGAGAGTCCACACAGTTATTCCCACCACTAACTCTGCTAATTGCTCTTAGTCTGGAACAGACTAAGAGCAGACTAAGAGACAGAAAGGCAGAGACAGGTATATTGTCTGTAGGACAAGTACATGAAGTTTTTGGCAGCAGTAGCTTAGCTGACGGCCAGGCCGGATGTAGCTTCTAGGAAGAGAAGCTGGGAGAGAACATGAAGTTGATCACAGGTAAAACAGCAGATAATGCAAAATTGTTGCGTTGTGTGAGGTTTTAGCTGAGTAAGGAAAAGTGATCAGCATGTCCCCCAGCAGCCTAGGACTATAACTGCAGTACTTTATATAACTAGATTGTTCAGCATGTTGTTGTTGTTGTGAATTGGTGCAACAAATATAAAATTAGCCTTCTACTTGACATTTAAGAACTACTTTCTGTTTCTCTAATACAGAAAACCACAATAAAGTACATGCAAGGCATTTGGATTATCAAAAATGGAAAAAATTCAAATTGTGTGAAAACTCTTGCAATCCCCTATAATTTATGTACATTTATGTGTTAAAACATCTCACCCACTAAAAGTGCAACGTAACGTTTCTGTCAACATGAGCAGAACTACAACCAGCAGCAAAAAATAAAATTAAATAAATAAATAAATAAATAAATAAATAAATAAATAAATAAATAAATAAATAAATAAAAATATCACAGCGGCTTGTGCTAAGAATAAGCACAAATTATACTGCTGACAGTTTTGACTGGCATGTGAAAATGAATTTAAAATAAGATATCAAAGACAAACTTCATATCACTGGAGAATCAACCTGGCTTATAAAGCACTCCAGGGCCGCTGTTTTATTTGCACTCCTTCTTCAATACAGCTGATGACTCAAACAGCTGAATTCCCTCATCATCATGTCAAGAGGTAATGAGCCAATCATTGGATTAATTTGAGGCAAGGAAACAACTAAAACATGCAGAATCTTGGCCTATGTGAGATGCCATTTGACACATCATGGTCTGAGGTATTTATACAAGCCCTGTTAGTCTAAATACCAACAGGGCATTGTCTAAATACAAGCCCTGGGTAGGCTGGTAGGTAGGCTACCCAGGGCTGGTACCAGACTACCTACCTAATGCAGCCTAGGTAGGTAGGCTGCATTAACCAACCAACCTACCTTCCTCTTTACCTTCCCATTTAGCTTCCTACGCCTACTTTGGTAGGTATGTATGGAGTCGACCTTCCTACCTACCAACCTACATTGGTGCTGATATTGAAAACAATTCTAGGTCAGATATCAGTGGCCATGTGCCTGATGCATTAGGGCAGGTCTATTCAATAAATTCTATGCTAATTGCACCGACTGAACAAATTAGTTATTTTTACACGTTTGACTAAGCTTGAGAAGCTATTGGTGTACAGAATCAGCCATTCCTAATTCATGTGGTGTTTCACTACTTAAAAAATATATCCATGAATATGTCATGTGAGTTATATTGAACACATATAGAAAACCATGTTTGAAAGCATGCAATTCTGTCCCGCTTGAGCAATAAAATCAAAGAGCGAGCTTTAATGGTACACTGTCAGCAGCCCAGCCAGCATGCCTAGGTGGGACCCATGTGGGGACAAGGAGGGCAGACTATATGGGTCCCATATGGGTTTGTCCGCGGGTTCCACGATGGCCCCACATGGGTTTGCCCATGTAGGGCCACAGCCCACATGGGCCCTGCATGGCCCCTAATTGGACAAAACCCATGTGGGCCACCACCATATAGGGCCCATGCAGGGCCCATGTGGGCTCTGGCCCTACATGGGCAAACCCATGTGGGGCCATCATGGAACCCGCGGACAAACCCATATGGGACCCATATAGTATGCCCTCCTTGTCCCCACATGGGGCCCACCTAGGCATGCTGGCTGGGAGCAGAGCTGTCACTGGCATTAGCAACGTCCACAGGACTTCTCTGAGTCTGAATGAGGTACTGTAGATTTATAATTATTCACTGGTAAACAAAGCAACTGGCTGACATTTAAGTCGATGTACACATACCATGCAAGCAGATAATTGGACTTTGCAAAGGCATGAACAAAAGAAATGGCAGCAAAATATCTGCAACTAATAAACCAAAAGTCTTTTCTACAAGTAGAAAGAGACTTTTCACTCAGCGTCAGACAAACGATAGCATATGAAAAAGCTTTTGTTACTTAGGCACATGCTGCTCATTATTCAATTTTCATTACTTAGTTTTCACTATTCATGTGTCACAGTAATGCCCATTTCTGCCTGTCCTTTCTGCTATAGAAACAGGCTTCAATTAGGAGTGACTGGAGAACACAGACGAACGGAGAAAGCAAATAAGAGCCAATTGTGTTTCAGTAATACTTATGTGATCACAGTGATTTTTACTCAAGTTGTATATTTCCTGTTAAACTGATGAGAGATATATGGAGCTATACTTCAGTGAGCTCCATGTTCTACATCGAATTTTAGGTCAGATCGGTGTTGAACACCTTTAAATATCATTACTTTTCAAACAACAAGTGTTCAATTTTACCTGTTTGTAGTACATGTCTGCCTCAAAACTACAGTCAAAGAAGCACATGAGGCCTGCAGGGCTCCTGGTTGCCTAAAGAGGGCAGACCTGAGCCAGCGCGGTTCCTGGAATAAAAATGTTCATTAAAAACCTGAAAGTTTGTGGAGCTTTATGGTAAGACAATTTATAGGCTGTTTGAAAGTGTAAACATTATTTTACGTATTTACAAGAAGAATGTGCCAAGAAGGTCAGGTCAGCCTCATATTTGACAATTTCTAAATAAATGCAAAATGAATGCTCTTTTTCCTCCTCTTGTCACACTTTTAGACAAATTACAAAAAAACAGTACTTGTGAATTATTCTTACATTTTGAGTTGTATGCTTGACAACCGTATAAGGTGTTCGGTGGTAGATGAGATAAGTCTGCACTAGTTTTCTACTGCTAGAAAAGTATTTCTCTTGAAATGCTAGTATTTTTAATATTAATTTAGAATTTCTGCTAATATAATTCTAATAGATGGTCACACCACTTGCTTCAGTTCCTGTTATATTTTATATTTTGATAGAGTCACTGTCAGAGGATAAGTTCTGAAAATGTACTCCTCGTGTGATGTGAAATTTTTCCTAACAAAAAAATATCTGGGAGATCCATCAGAAGAATAAATTATGAACAACAAAAACAACCAAAGTGAAT